TCCAATTTTTTTTTGTTTAAATAAGAACATTGTGACGTTTGCTTAATATAAGCAATTTTAAATGATTTATACTTTTACTTTTGATACTTAAGTATATTTTTGCAATTGCATTTACTTTTGATACTTAAGTATATTTAAAACCAAATACTTTGACTTTTACTCAAGTAGTATTTTACTGGGTGACTTTCACTTGAGTCATTTTCTATGAAGGTATCTTTACTTTTACTCAAGTATGATAATTGGGTACTTTTTCCACCACAACATCTTTCTGTCATCCTTTCTGGTCTTGATGGATGAGATTTACACAGTGAGTCGGCTTTGTGTATTGTGCCACTAGGGGTCAGTATAAGTCAGTATATGGAGTCCGACGATGACACAACAATCACTCAATAAGTCACGTATAAATATAAATGTACTTCACATAATGTTTGAATTTCAACTTTAAAATACCACTTTTAATAATCCTATTCTCTGTGAAATTGATTCACAATTTCTGTTTGGCTTCAAATATTGTCTTTTTAATACAAACTATATGGAGCATTCATGTGATACTAAATGTTGTCAAGCCCTGTGCAACCGCATTGCAAAAGAAGAGCTAGTGCAAATAAAGATGCATATCAAATATACAACACACACATTAATACATGTAAGATTCAAGCTAAGCAAAGACACTTTTTACCATTACAAATATTAAACACTTTTCAAATAGATATTGTGCAAGTCTGTGTGTATATTACCATACATAATGAAACACCAGACAGACTCAGAGATATACAACAGCTGCTGCTGACTATTGCCCTTTCAAAGCGTGCTTGAAACATGCTGGAAACGTGCAAAAGCGTGAGACAGTGAGTGGTAAGGCTGAAGCAACCGACTGCAGACGAAAGTCGAGGAGTGAAGTCGGGGGAGGTGCATCTGCTACAGCTGAAAGTCGGACACTGATGTGGTTTTCCAACAGCGAGGCTCAGTACAACATGGCAGTATTGCCATTGTTTATAAAAGTTTTTCTTTGTAATATCAAAATAAACATGTCTCCAACCACCATATCACACACTCACAAACTGTAAATATATGTATGTACTATCAATTGGTGCGAGAGCCTCAAATATCACATTAATTTGTACATATCCACTGTATACATATGAATCGTGGCAAAGTTGCTTCCTGTTTAGTCACGTCTGTGGTCCCGTTCGCGTGGGTCAAACAAAAAGACTCATGATTGGTTGACAAATAGTGCCTCCAACAATGCAGGCGATGGCTGCAAGTTGCAGCTGGTAAGGAGCAACTGCAGAAAATTGAAGTCGACTGCAGTCGAAACTTCATGACCTTTGATCACATGGTTGTTGTAAAGTTCATGCAAGTCGGACAATTCTTATCCCTAAAATGCAACACACTTTGAAAAGTGGTGAAGATGGTCACCGACTTGACAAAAGTGATCCGCTGGAACGCGCCCAGATAGTCCGTTGGTGGCCTTGGTTATATGGTGGGTTCAGTACATCAAGCGCAGCCGGATCAGACAGGAAACCTGAGTGTTGCGTCAGCAGCTGATATTGCACCAATTAGATTCATCACTCTACATTAATATGGCGGTCTATTTAGCCCACCAGGCTCTACACACACTTTCTCTGATGGCTGCCGCACGCAAGCTATGCACTGGTGTTCTTGGTGACATGCTATTGCTGTAACATGCGTTACTCGCCATGCATGTCTGTTTTCTGCTTTCCCACCCTGTGTCCACCTGTTTGGTTCTGTTTCCTTCCTGCAGGGGGATTGGTACAGCATACCTTGCTCTCTGCCTGTAATTATTATGATCTTAACAGTATGCATGCTCTGGCAGTGAGCTACCCCAAAGGAGCAGAGCCTCTAACGCCAAGACTAATGTATTGCATGTATTGTAATATTTTCTAATAAATGGTTAAACAAACACGTGGCGTTTCCTGTCTGAAATACAGTTATGTGTTTGTCTGTTTGATGAGAGATGGGTCTCTTTACATGAACACTAGTGCTGGCTTAGAAATCACTGTCGCTCTTGACACAAGCGCATAAAAACACACCACAGAAGCAGCACTCACATCATTGATAAAGCTCTTTTTCAAGGAAGTATAAAAGCAGCGTTGGTCGCAGCCGTAAGAGTAGAGAGTTACTAAGGAACAAACCAGTAAACCCAACCCAATATTTACATTATAAAACACAAAGCTCTAAAATGAGTATGTGGTGGGTGATGGGTCCAGTTCAGTACATGCACACCCCCATGCCAATGTGAAACACTGTAAATACACTAATTCCCCCAATACTTGGTAAGTTTTGATGAGTAATGTAGTAATGCAACGTATAAGTCCATTGGAAGAGGACTGGCCACCCCTCAGAGCCTAGTTCTTCTCTAGGTTTCTTCCTAGGTTCTTGCCTTTCTAGGGAGTTTTTCCCTAGCCACCGTGCTTCTACATCTGCATTGCTTGCTGTTTGGGGTTTTAAGCTGTATAAGCACTTTGTGACATCTGCTGATGTAAAAAGGGCTTTATAAATACATTTGATTGATTGATTGATTGATTGATTGATTGATGTGAGTGAGTGTGTGTGTGAGTGAATGACTGTATGGACGAGTATTTAGTTCTATGAAATGCGTAACCAAATTAGGAAACCTCATTTGAAAAGCTATTGTGGCAGGCTCACTTCGGACCGATTGAATCTGTCTGAGTGGAGTGATCTGTCCATACCGCCAGGACTTGACCTCCATAGAAAAGGCTGCAGACAGTCACATTCTGGTTGTTGGAAAGTCTGTTCAACACTGAAACATTGATACTATGTCAGTAGTTAAGTCCGTTGCTGAAGAATCACCACATCCAATGATTTGTCTGTAGTTGGTCTGTAATACTGGCTGGGGAGAATAAACTTCACGGACTGCATAAGGACATTCTCACAATAACTACTTCCTCAGCATCACTAACCTCATCCCCTGGCTAAATTCAGAGAGAGCCAGCTGGTGGACCATATCATACATTGCCTGTTCTTCCACTAACGGTGAAGCTGTCAACACAGCAATGTTCAACTGTAGTCTCTCTCCATGGCAAGAGGACACTGCCTTTGCAGCATTGGTCAGGGGAGTAAGGGGTTACAGTTAGGGGGTTTGGTAACAGAACTGGGGGTTAAGGGTGCAACAGAATGATAGCATTCAAGTTATTTGGTTAGGGACATACAGTAGAATAAGGTTATGGGTATGGGGTTAAGATCATAGGGTTCAGTGTATGGTTCAGATTATGGTTCAGGTTATGGTTCAGTGTATGGTTCAGTGTATGGTTCAGAGTATGGTTCAGTGTATGGTTCAGAGTATGGTTCAGGTTATGGTTCAGTGTATGGTTCAGTGTATGGTTCAGTGTATGGTTCAGAGTATGGTTCAGTGTATGGTTCAGATTACGGTTCAGAGTATGGTTCAGTGTATGGTTCAGTGTATGGTTCAGGTTATGGTTCAGTGTATGGTTCAGTGTATGGTTCAGTGTATGGTTCAGAGTATGGTTCAGAGTATGGTTCAGTGTATGGTTCAGATTACGGTTCAGAGTATGGTTCAGTGTATGGTTCAGTGTATGGTTCAGTGTATGGTTCAGGTTATGGTTCAGTGTATGGTTCAGTGTATGGTTCAGTGTATGGTTCAGAGTATGGTTCAGTGTATGGTTCAGATTACGGTTCAGAGTATGGTTCAGTGTATGGTTCAGTGTATGGTTCAGTGTATGGTTCAGTGTATGGTTCGTGTATGGTTCAGTGTATGGTTCAGAGTATGGTTCAGTGTATGGTTCAGATTACGGTTCAGAGTATGGTTCAGAGTATGGTTCAGGTATGGTTCAGAGTATGGTTCAGGTTATGGTTCAGTGTATGGTCAGTGTATGGTTCAGTGTATGGTTCAGAGTATGGTTCAGTGTATGGTTCAGATTACGGTTCAGAGTATGGTTCAGTGTATGGTTCAGTGTATGGTTCAGGTTATGGTTCAGTGTATGGTTCAGATTACGGTTCAGAGTATGGTTCAGTGTATGGTTCAGTGTATGGTTCAGAGTATGGTTCAGGTTATGGTTCAGTGTATGGTTCAGAGTATGGTTCAGTGTATGGTTCAGAGTATGGTTCAGTGTATGGTTCAGATTACGGTTCAGATTATGGTTCAGAGTAGGGTTGCAAAATTCCGGTAACTTTCCCAAAATTCCCTGTTTTTCCAGAAGTCCTGGTTGGAAGATTCCTGCAATTCTAAGGGAATAAGCAGGAAATAGGGTATTCCTCCAACCAGGATTTCTGGAAAAACAGGGAATTTTGGGAAAGTTACCGGAATTTTGCAACCCTAGTTCAGTGTAAATTTAACTGAAAGGGCAGAGGGGTTCATATGGCACTTAAAGGATTACAGAAGGCGACAGTACAGCAAATGTTGCTCTCTGCGTCCACCTTCCTCTGAATGGCACATAACTAGGACCAGGAGTATTTCCAGACCACATGACCTGAACAGGAAAACCTCTTCCTGGTACAGTCACAAGTTTAGGAAAACTCCTGACCCTATACTAGAGCTGCATAATTAATTGAATTCACATCGAAATCACAATATTGACATGTGTAAAAGCCATATCTCAAGCATTATTTTGAAACGGCACTAAGCTGTGTGTATCGTCTGTTTTTATAGTTGACTCTGTTTGTCGTCTCTCTCCCTCTTCTCTTGGGGCTGCTTCAAACACACACCAAGCCCCGGCCTTGGTCAATCAAGCAGCGCAGTTCCTCCTCCTCGCTGTTAGATTCACTATACATTTGCATGCTGTTCTGTTAGGTCAAATGCAGTCAACAGATAGTTCCGAACAAGGCCAATGATACTTTCCACTTTGCTTCTTAATATAAGTCATTCTATTTCAATGATTCCAACAGTTCAGCCAAGGGTTTTGTATCTATATCGCAAGTCAAATCACAATCGCAATATTTGGTCCAAAAATCGCAATTAGAGCCGCCCTACCCTACACACAACCAATCACGGCTCTTTAAGCGTTGCTGGACAGACTGTGGCTCACGTCGCCGTTCATCTCGCTCAACACTTCATGAGTCGTGTCATTGGGCATGTCATAGGTCATTGTGTCATTGGGCATGGTGTATGCTGTGTCATTGGCCACATCATATGACGTGTCATTGGCTGACTCCTTGTGGGGGGTGGGGTCGGGGGCCAGAGGGTCCAGAACAGACTTCTCTATTGGCCGTACGGCGTCCCCGTCAGGGGCGTAGCAGACTAGACAGAGCAGGGCGGAGCAGTCCCACAGGCCCTGGGACATATTGGAGGAGAAGAGCTTCCTACAGGGGTGGCAGAACTGATAGAAGACCAGCATGAAGAAGATGGCCATGGTGTAGGCCACCAGCAGCTGCAGCACTAATAATGGAGCACAGATGAACCTATAGAAGTCTGTCTTGTAGACGTACCACAGCAGCAGCAGAGAGGCGTTCTCCACGAACCTCAGCATGTAGTACACGGCCATGCGGTACCAGTTCTGAGACTTGTTGATCAGGTCTGGGTCGTTGAGCTTCAGCTGCACCGCCGACCAGCAGAACATGTTGATGCCTGCGTAGAGGAACGTGAGGAGACAGAGGACGATGGTGGTGCCCACCCGGGTTAGGGTTTTCTCGATGTTCTCCGGGAAGGGCGAGTGGCTCTGCCAGAACAGCACCCAGGGGTAGAGGAAGAAGAGGAAGAAGTTGAGCAGCACCACGGGGAGGATCCAGAGCTGCAGTACCGAGCTGAAGAGCACCAGGACGGTGACGCGCGTGGCGATCTCGAAGCTGCGCCACAGGAAGATGCAGAGGTAGGCGGCGGGACGCACGTCCACCTCGTAGTCGTCATACTTGATCTTGATGGCCAGGATGTTGCAGCGCAGGGCACCATATACGATGGACAGCAGGGAGATCACCATGAGGGTGCCTAGAAGTGAGTGAGAGAGAGAGAGAGAGAGAGAGAGAGACCATTCAGAATATTCCATTCAATATTGTTGTCATTTGAGGCTGAGCTCTTAATTAATATGACTGTTCATTCATTCACTAACTGTACATAGTGTAACAAGCCTGTAAGGCCACCGAAGCTCACACGTAGTTTGTTAACTAGCAGCACCTCTCTGATTCAGAGGGGTTGGGTGAAATACAGAAGACACATTTCAGTTGAATGCATTCAGTTGTGCAACTGACTAGATACCCCCCCCCCCCCTTCTCCTGAAGGGCAACATTGGTTGCTTTTTCCTCGGAGCACCCCGTTTCCTTGAGGGGTAGTATATCTGACTAAGCACAAATCAGTCAGTGCTCGTCCCGTGCCAGTGACCTCATGCTCTGAAACAACCCCAAAGTAAGATTTGAGCCTGTTGTAGTGTACCACGGCATGATAAGGTCCATTACACTGTACTACTTCATATGGCACATCTGACAGTTTCTTTGCAATGTTGAAGGGACCCTTGAATTTCTTTCTTAGTTTGGGTGACAACTCCATTTTCCTCTGGTAGTCCCTAAGCCACACATGTTCATTTTTCTCATTCCTCTGGGGTGTCACCTTTAGACCAAAGTATTGATTTTGTTTACCTGTGGCCCTTACAGTGCTTAAATACCCTTGTACCTTTTGCACATACTGAGAAACATACTGTTTCCCTTCATTTTGTTGTGTTCCTATAACCACATCAACAGGTAGTCATTTCAGTACCGAACAGCACCTTGTACGGTGTGAACCCCGTGGAAGATTGAACACTACTCCTGTATGACATCATCACATATGGGAGAATCTCATACCGATTTCTTTGATTGTCATCAACAAAAAGTGACAGCATGTTGAGCAGAGTTCTGTTCATTCTTTCCACTAAACCATCAGATTGTGGGCTGTACAGAGTAGTTGTTGTTTTGTTCATTTGTAAAAGATTGCACATCTCTCTACAAAGAGTAGATAAAACATTTCGCCCTTGATCGCTATAGATTGAGCGAGGAACGCCTAGCTTCAACACAAATTCCTCTACCAGTTTATTGTCCTCTGTTACTGCTTCCTGATTGGGTATGGCATATGCCCCTGACCACCTAGTAAAGTAATCTGACACTACCATAATGTGCTTGTTACCTCGTCCAGTCTCTGTAAATGGACCCATTAAGTCTACAACTATCCTCTGGAAAGAGCGGCCTGTGACAGAACTTGTCATGGGTGCTCTGGGGGCTGGACCCTGTAATTTGTATGCAGCACACGCCACACAGCCCTTACACCACTGCTTTATGGCTCTCTGCCAGCCTGGCCAATAACATCTTGCTCTGATTTTACTGGTGAGTTTACAACTCCTAAATGGCCTGCTGTTCTATCATTGTGGATAAAGGAAAGTATGTTATGTACGAGCTCATCTGGTACAACCCCTCTCCAGATGGCGTCATCTGTCTCATAGTTTTGACTCTCAAGGCATAACACCCCATTCTTCACATGTAATGCCCCCCACACTTGTTTGAAGCGCTTGAACGTTGGCTCAGATTGCAGCTCTTTTCTACCCTCTTTTTTTCAATTTCTTTAACTGGGAGACCATTGGGTCTCTATCCTGTGCTTCCAAAAGGAAAGCTGCATTTGTGGGGACTGACTGGCTTGTTTGAGCTCTGAATGCAGGCTCAATAGTGACATCCTGAGGCTCTCAGATTGACAGTGGCCTCCTGTGATTCGGCTGTGTCTACACTCTCTGTCTGTGTGTCGGCATGACACACCATCTGCATTACTGTGCAGTCTCCCTGGCCTGTGGACAATATCATAGTCATACTGATCCAGTTTCTGTAGCCATCTGGCTAACTGTCCCTCAGGTTGTTTGAAGTTACTCAGGCACCTCAGTGAGCTGTGATCAGTTCTCAGTAGACATTTCCTCCCCAGCAAAAAGTGTCTGAAATGTTCAAGAAACTACCACAGCAAGAAGCTTCTTCTTGGTAGTTGAGTACTTCCTCTCCTGTTTTGACAGTGCCCGACTGGTGTAACAGTGTTGCTTCCGTCCCTCTCCTCGCCCCTACCTGGGCTTGAACCAGGAACCCTCTGCACACATCGACAACAGTAACCCTCGAAGCACCGTTACCCGTCGCTCCACAAAAGCCGCGGACCTTGCAGAGCAAGGGAAACAACTACTTCAAGGTCTCAGAGCGAGTGATGTCACCGATTGAAATGCTACTAGTGCGCACCGCTAACTAGCTAGCCATTTCACACCGGTTACACTGGCATATGCTACTACTCTCTCCCTACCCTTGTGTTTCTGGGAGAGGACTGCGCTTATGCCTGTGTCACATGTGTCAGTATCCATTATGAAATCTAGATTTGGGTCAGGGAAAGCAAGTATGGGGGATGTGGTAAGCTTGGACTTTAGTTCATTAAAGGCCACTTCACACACTGCATTCCACTCAAACGTTTTCCCCTTATCTGTCAATCTGTACAAAGGCTCCTCCTTAGCTGCAAAATCTGTTATCAACCTCCTGTAGTATGATGCCAGCCTATTTGTCAGTGACTTGGGGCTAGGCCATGACCTGACTGTTTTTGGGGCTAGGCCATGACCTGACTGTTTTTGGGGCTAGGCCATGACCTGACTGTTTTTGGGGCTAGGCCATGACCTGACTGTTTTTGGGGCTAGGCCATGACCTGACTGTTCTTGGGGCTAGGCCATGACCTGACTGTTTTTGGGGCTAGGCCATGACCTGACTGTTTTTGGGGCTAGGCCATGACCTGACTGTTTTTGGGGCTAGGCCATGACCTGACTGTTTTCATGGGGTCAGTGGACACTCCCTCAGCCGAGATGATGTGTCCCAGGTAGCTCACCTGTGACCTGAACAAATGGCACTTAGATGGTTTCACCTTAAATCCTGCCTGTTCCAATCTGCTGAAAATCTTGTCTAAGCGCTTCACACGCTCTTGGAATGTACAACCAAACACTATGATGTCGTCTAAGACATGTTGTCCACTGTAAGTCAGCCAACACCAGGTCCATGAGACGCTGGAAGCTGTCAACCCAAACCTGGAATTCGAAAAAGCCCTCTCTTGGTCACAAAAGCAGTTTTGTTACGACCCACAGGGTGCATCTAAGTCTAAAGTGGAAAACTACTGAGCACCGGCAAGCAAGTCCAAGGTCTCATCTGTCCTAGGAAGTGGATATGCATCTTTTACAGTGTTCTCGTTTAACCTTCTGTAATTCACACAGAACCTGATTAAGCCGTCCTTGTTTCTTACTAACATCACTGGTGCTGCCCATGGACTGCTGGATGGGTTAACTATTCCCCTTTCTAACATGTCCTGCAAATGCTTGTCAAACTCTGCTTGCAGATGAACAGGCACCCACCTCAATGCTTGTTTGATAGGCCTGTTGTCCCATGTTAATCTTATGCTGGACTAGTTTTGTGCAGCCCAAGTCAAAGTCAATAGTGCTAAACTCTCCCACATACACTACATGACCAAAAGTATGTGGACACCTGCTCGTCGAACATCTCATTCTAAAATCATGGGCATTAATATGGAGTTGTTCCCCCCTTTGCTGCGTTAACAGCCTCCACTCTTCTGGGAAGGCTTTCCACTAGACGTTGGAACATTGCTGCGGGGATTTGCTTCCATTCAGCCACAAGAGCATTAGTGAGGTTGGGCACTGATGTTGGGCGATTAGGCCTGGCTCGCAGTCGGCGTTCCAATTCATCTCAAAGGTGTTCGATGGGGTTGAGGTCAGGGCTCTTGTGCAGGTCAGTCAAGTTCTTCTACACCGATCTAGACAAACCATGTCTGTATGGACCTGGCTTTGTGCACGATGGCATTGTCATGCTAAACAGGAAAGGTCCTTCCCCAAACTGTTTCCACAAAGTTGGGAGCACAGAATCATCTAGCTGTGGCTATCATAAGTTGAATGCACTGACCACCTTCCGGAGACACTTGAAACCCTACCTCTTTAAGGAATACCTGGAATAGTATAAAGTAATCCTTCTTCCCCCACCCCAAAAAAATTAAAAATACAAATAAATAAAAGTGGTTGTCCCACTGGCTATCATAAGTTGAATGCACCAATTTGTAAGTCGCTCTGGATAAGAGCATCTGCTAAATGATGTAAATGTAAATTTAGAATGTCATTGTACAGTCGTAGTCAAAAGTTTTGAGAATGACACAAGTATTGGTCTTCACAAAGTTTGCTGCTTCAGTGTTTTTAGACATTTTTGTTACTATGGTATACTGAAGTATAATTACAAGCATTCCATAAGTGTCAAAGGCTTTTATTGACAATTACATTAAGTTTATGCAAAGAGTCAATATTTGCTGTGTTGACCCTTCTTTTTCAAGACCTCTGCAATCCGCCCTGGCATGCTGTCAATTAACTTCTGGGCCACATCCTGACTGATGGCAGCCCATTCTTGCATAATCAATGTTTGGAGTTTGTCAGAATTTGTGGGTTTTTGTTTGTCCACCCGCCTCTTGAGGATTGACCACAAGTTCTCAATGGGATTAAGGTCTGGGGAGTTTCCTGGCCATGGACCCAAAATGTCTATGTTTTGTTCCCCGAGCCACTTAGTTATCACTTTTGCCTTATGGCAAGGTGCTCCATCATGCTGGAAAAGGCATTGTTCGTCACCAAACTGTTCTTGGATGATTGGGAGAAGTTGCTCTCGGAGGATGTGTTGGTACCATTCTTTATTCATGGCTGTGTTCTTAGGCAAAATTGTGAGTGAGCCCACTCCCTTGGCTGAGAAGCAACCCCACACATGAATGGTCTCAGGATGCTTTACTGTTGGCATGACACAGGACTGATGGTAACGCTCATCTTGTCTTCTCCGGACAAGCTTTTTTCAGGATGCCCCAAACAATCGGAAATGGGATTAATCAGAGAAAATGACTTTACCCCAGTCCTCAGCAGTCCAATCCCTGTACCTTTTGCAGAATATCAGTCTGTCCCTGATGTTTTTCCTGGAGAGAAGTGGCTTCCTCGCTGCCCTTCTTGACACCAGGCCATCCTCCAAAAGTCTTTGCCTCACTGTGCGTGCAGATGCACTCACACCTGCTTGCTGCCATTCCTGAGCAAGCTCTGCACTGGTGGTGCCCCGCAGCTAAATCAACTTTAGAAGACGGTTCTGGCGCTTGCTGGACTTTCTTGGGCGCCCTGAAGCCTTCTTCAGAACAATTGAACCTCCCTTCTTGAAGTTCTTGATGATCCGATAAATGGTTGATGTAGGTGCAATCTTACTAGCAGCAATATCCTTGCCTGTGAAGCCCTTTTTGTGCAAAGCAATGATGACGGCACGTGTTTCCTTGCAGGTAACCATGGTTAACAGAGGAAGAACAATGATTTAAAGCGCCACCCTCCTTTTAAAGCTTCCAGTCTGTTATTCTAACTCAATCAGCATGACAGAGTTATCATTAGCCTTGTCATCGTCAACACTCTCACCTGTGTTAACGAGAGAATCACTGACATGATGTCAGCTGGTCCTTTTGTGGCAGGGCTGAAATGCAGTGGAAATGTTTTTTTGGGATTAAGTTCATTTTCATGGCAAAGAGGGACTTACCAATTAATTGCAATTCATCTGATCACTCTTCATGACATTCTGGAGTATATGCAAATTTTCATCATCAAAACTGAGGCAGCAGACTTTGTGAACATTTATATTTGTGTCATTCTCAAAACTCTTGACCACGACTGTATACTGTAGCGTTAAGATTTCCCTTCACTGGAACTAAGGGGCCTAGCCTGAACCATGAAAAACAGCCCCATGGTAACCCATTTCATGAAGCTCCCGACCAACAGTTATTGTGCTGACGTTGCTTCCAGAGGCAGTTTGGAACTCGGTAGTGAGGACAGACGATTTTTACGCGCTTCAGCACTCGGTGGTCCGGTTCTGTGAGATTGTGTGGCCTACCACTTCGCGGCTGAGCTGTTGTTGCTCCTAGACGTTTCCACTTCATAATTACAGCGATTACAGTTAACTGGGGCAGCTTCAGCAGGGCAGAAATTTGACAAACTGACTTGTTGGAAAGTTGGCATCCTATGACGGTGTCACGTTGAAAGTCACTGAGCTCTTCAGTAAGGCCATTCTACTGCCAATGTTTGTCTATGGAGACTGCATGGCTGGGTGCTCGATTTTATACACCTGTCAGCAACGGGTGTGGCTAACATAGCCTAATCCACTAATTTGAAGGGGTGTTCACATACTTTTGTATATTTAGTGTATCTACCCACCTTTTCCTTTACAGCTCTCAGCTGCACCTCAGCTGGCTGCAATCTATGTCGACTCTTGCATTAACTGTTCTACGTCCCACAATGCTGTGGTGGGAGAGTATGGCGGCTGGTTAGAATCCTGTAGGCTAGCAACGATAGTGTCTTCACTACCCTTCTCCCAGATAGAGAAACCCCCCAGTTCAGTGCCCTCCCTCAGTAACTTTGATTAAGGGGTTACATTCATCACACGCTCTGGCAGTGTACCCTTCACTGAGCTGCCAATGCTACATGCCCCCAACAGGTTACTTGTATCAGTGACTTCAGCACATGGCTCAAGAAGACCCTCAGTTTTGTCATTTTTTACTGTACCCTCACCTTATATACATTTAACTTCTGGAGGGGATAATCGTGTTATTCATCACCACCACTTTACACACTCCATGCCTCTCCCCTGAAAATCAGTGTAATCTGCTTCCCCAAAACACAGCATGTTTTCTTTTGCAAATCAAGTACTGCCCCGTATTTTACCAGGAAGTCTGTTGCTATCAGTGCACACTGGTCTGCGTCGCTAGCGACGACAAAGTCCCCGGTCAGATTCAGACCGTCAATGTTCATGACTGTGGACCAGCTCCCCAGGACTGAGAGAAACTGTCCATTTGCTACATTAACTGTGCTGTGGTATGGTTGCAGTGTACCACGCTTACCTCCAGTAGCATTTCTCCATACCTGTTCGTATAACATGGAAACCTGGGACCCCGAGTCCACCATGACCTCACACTCGAAGTCAGCCATTTTGCACTTAAGGTAAACCCCACTCCCCACAACACTTGCTGCGGACTGGTCAGCTGTGCGTGTAGTTTAAACCGATGCTGCGCTGTCCTTTTCCACGTCAGGGCAATCTTTTTTCATGTGCATTGTGCACACACAGTGCCAGCATGCCCTGCTAATGGTTACCAGTAGGTCGTCCTCTGTCGCTCCTGGGGATCCTAGATCTCCTGTTGCTGCTGTAGAAGACCCTGGAAACTATATTCTGCTCTAGTATGGCTCCCTCTGATGTGGCTCCCGCTCTGCCAGATGCTGCACCTCGGTCCGCAACTGTGCAACGCTCTCACACAATGACTCAAACAACTATTTTGGAACGCTGACAATGTCTCTAACTGGAGGCAGAGTAACCTCGCTTGTCCCACACATGTTCACTTTGTATTGTGCAGTGTCTTGGCTTTCCAGCAATTCTAGCTGCCTTATCTGATCAAGCTCTGTAGCAATGCTAATTTCCTCTTCCAACGTTTTTGGTACTGCCTTGCGCAGGTGCACACGAAGATCACTGCAACCATTGTATGTAATAAAATAGTCTTGTGGAAGCGAATCACGTGCGCACGTGCTATAATCTGGGTAAACCTTTGAAGCTAGCCTGCTTAAATCATGCCCAAAGTCACGAATGCACTCACCCACTTTACGTTTTCTGTCCTGAAAAAAAATCACGATTCCAGTCAGCATGCTCCGGTGGCTCAAAATGCTGCTGCAAAGCCATTTTCACGCTGTTGTAATCGTTCTTGGTATCCTGAGGTAAAGTTCTGCAAAATCTCTGCACATTTCCCCTCAGTGAAAGCATGAGAAAGTTCAAACGATCTAACTCATACTGATCAATCCAAGCAGTCCATTCGACATCTTTCCCCTCAAAAGATTCTGGCATGAACACCGGCCGGTCAATCCGCCTGTCCATGGCACCTGGCTGATCTACCACCAGCTGTCGGTTGTTGATTGCTGTTCCCGGGTTGTTTGACTTCTCCCTCCATTTTCCCACGCAGCTAGCAAGCTAATGTTAGCCAAGCTAGCGAGTTGCTGTTAGCTAATTTACTTGTTAATCCCAAAATCCGCTGCCACCAATTTGTAACGAGCCTGTAAAGCCACCGAAACGCACATGTAGTTTATTAACTAGCATAAACAGTCTAGGACGATGATTTTCCATTCAATAATCAAGTTGTCGTTTATTTGGATGAACACAGTACACCCCAGCACTAACCTGACATACACAAGTGCCTCTCCAAACCCACTGCGACTCAGCATGCCCCCTGCATCATCACATACAGCAACTAATTTGCATAACATTGTGTGATAGGCTGAGAGACATTCGAATGTGTACACACATTACAATAGCAACAAGATCCACTGGATCAATTTACAGATGATCATTTGCAATATCAAGTGCCATAGTTCACGTCGTCAACACATTACACTTTTGCTTTGATAGCATAGAACTGTCAGATTCTGCCTTACCCCCAAAACAGCTTGACGCTTTTCCTCTGGTCACACTCACTCTCACACAGCAAAGCATTTCCTCAGTCTGAAATGACATTTCTCAATAACAGCAAATAAAACAGGGAAGTATTAGCAGACTGTGTGACATAACTCAAATGTGTCTGTGATCCTATTTGCTATATTATCCATAATCATGACTCAGATGATGGATGAAATCAGTTATTTCAAACAGCTAGTTTGAAGATCTAAATAAAATACCTTGATAGCAGAGTGCTAGAGAGTGTTGCGTAATACCACTTTGAGTCATGAAAACACCATCCGCTTATTCCAACATGGCACTTAGCTAATCAGCCCACGCCACAGTGGAGCTGTGCTCTGAGGGCTGTGGACCGGCCTGCTCCCTCGGGGGAGGGATGGAGGGATTTGGGGGAAGGACTGTGTCTCTGTAGTGAGCCTCTATAGGGGGTAACCAGCAGAGATAACTCAACTATGTTAATGTTCAGGCTCAAAGAGGTTCCTATATACTGAGAAAGCTGGGGGCCTCCTCTATCCCTCAATGCATGGAACTCAAGATGACTCAAGTGTGATCAAACAGAGAGAAAATGTACGCACACACACACACACACACAAACACACGTATAGAAAGAGACAAACACATAGAAACGTACAACTAAAAGTCACACTTCTCGACGTCACACAAACACACACACACACACACACACACACCACTCACCTCTGCCGATGGACACCCCCTGCTGCAGGACACAGATGTAGAGCTGCAGGGTGAGCTGGGGGGCAGAGCCCAGGAAGGCCTGGATGACAGAGGTGCGGGCGAAGGCGGCACGGTGGGTGAACAGCTTGCCCTCTGCCTGCCCAACCTGTCTCTCCACCTCCTCAGACTGGCCCCCCCTGGGCATCTGACGCTTCCGCGTGATGCTGACATACGGCTCCTCTACCCGGCCCACACTGCCGTAGATACAGAACGCCTCCAGACACCTACAGAAGCAGAGGAACACACACACATAAAGCATGATTAATGCAGTGGTGTACCCAAGGCCTTCACACACACCCGGCTGTGGAGAATACCGAACAAATGCCTCCATACACCTACAGCAGCACAAAAATACTACAATAATGAGGGGGAAGATGTGGAAGACATTATGAACACTGCTGTGGATACCAAACCCATGGAGCGTCTCAAACTCTGGAAGCATCTTAACAGTGTGCAAGAATTGTTCTAGAATCCTATGATGACAACATACAATAATAGAAACAACAACAAACATCAATGAACAGCCATAGATACGGAGCTCCCTTAGCAACAGCATCATCACACATATGGCACTACTATAAAAATCTCTATCATCACTATTAACATAAACACCACCTGCAACATTATCAACAGCCAGCTGGATCTACTACATCCCATAGTAACACCCCAAACTCTATCAGTGAGTTGACCAGTTAGTGACCACAGCATCTTGCATCTCCACTCATTAGTAAACATGACCTACCCACGCTCCTCAGTAGAGCAGTAGACTCCAGGCAGTCATCTTCCAATGCGGCACTAAAAAGACTAAAGGCCCGGGCGGGCGGGTGTGGGAACTGGGCTGTGGGCCAGGGCAGTATAACTCATTCACTCTGCTGGGTAAAGCAGCTCTGGTCCACAGTGCCAATAAAATACTAGGCAGGGAGATTTACGCTCACAGGGCCAGTGAGGGACAGGCTGTTTATAAGGCTAAACAGCATCCCAGTGACACGCAAAGTGGTAATAGTATACATCAGCTAAAAGGCTGTGCTGCTAACTGCTAACTGTACTGCTAACCCTATCCTAACAGCTTTAGCAGCACACTTGCTAAATATCAGAGGCCACACATATCAGTATGCTATACAGTAGTAGTAGTAGTAGTAGTAGTAGTAGTAGTAGTAGTAGTAGTAGTAGTAGTAGTAGTAGTAGCAGTAGTAGTAGTAGTAGTAGTAGTAGTAGTAGTAGTAGTAGTAGTAGTAGTAGTAGCAGTAGTAGTAGCAGTAGTAGTAGCAGTAGTAGTAGCAGTAGCAGTAGTAGTCGTCGTCTCGTCGTCGTCTCGTAGTCGTCTAGGCCCAGGTGTTTTACTTGACCATATGCCCTGACAAGGACACTGGGCCTGAGGCTATAGATAATCAGAGTAGTTCAGGTCACTTAGGAAGGAAAATCTTCGGGCCCTACATACTACATACAGTCCGTCATCTAGGTACCTAGATGATGAAGCGCTATTGAAATTGCAATTAAGGGATTGGGGTCCCAGCGTCGCATAGCATGTTCAATTACACCTGTATGATTAATTAGTGTGTGTGTGTGTGTGTGTGTGTGTGTGTGTGTGTGTGTGTGTGTGTGTGTGTGTGTGTGTGTGTGTGTGTGTGTGTGTGTGTGTGTGTGTGTGTGTGTGTGTGTGTGTGTGTGTGTGTGTGTGTGTGTGTGTGTGTGTGTGTGTGTGTGTGTGCGTGCGTGTATGTGTGTGTGTGTATGTGTGGTAACTAGAGACTGCAGGCAGGGGGCTGACACTAGAACATAATTAGAACAGTAGGAAAGTGATCACAGACTTGCTAGCTGGAGCAGCTATAAAATATAGTCAAAATGGGTAACTCAATCATGTTAATGGAGAAAGACATCAACAAAGCAATTTAGATGAAGCTGCTTTTAACCACCTGCCCAGGGAGTCGATGGGAATTGTCCTCTTGGCTAAATCTGGCACATGGTGGCACTTGTTTACTGTGCACTGCCCCTTTCAAATAAATATAATAAAGACATTTCAAGTAGATTCAATTAAACATTTGCAAACATTCCAGAAGCAGACATTTCCACTATGGTAATTTGGCCACACTTCACATCGGTGCATCTTCAGGCTAGTGTATGCTGGATGTTTTCAGGATGTGGCTTTCTGCTTCTGTGCAGACTGATACCCTCCCTCCACTTGTGTTATCCCAGATAACAACCAGGCAGCAACAACACGTGCTATTCTTAGAACTGCCTGTGCAGTGGAGAAGCAAGGGCGCGAGTCAGAGAGACATGCTTTTAGACCCATCATTACATTTTAGACTCAAGAGATGCAGGCCATATATCCAGAGGCCGTTACTGCCAAGCATCATTTAACAACACACCATCAGCTTTGAGTGATGTATGACATCACATATACATCCATCTGTTCAACTAGGAAACACAACATCTCACATACCCCCTGGCTAGCCATAGTGTCAGTGAGTGTTCACTGTTATAGATAGGGGCAATTCCACGGTTAACGGAATTGCGCTGAGAAAACCATACAGCTCTATGCACAATAACTACTTTATACAATTTACAACTAACATTTTACAAAAGCTAATTTATTGGATGCAAAGTTTTGTAACAGAATTTCGGTAAAATCTCCCTCAGTTTTTTATGTGTCCACGTTTTCCAAAAGATCTGTTAAATATCTGCTCCGAATTTAGATTCAACAATGTCTGCAGAAAGAATGGGGTGTCAGCTATGACATGACACATTGACTTTGAAAAAATATTTTGGTTTTTGAACTACAGTAAGTGAAGTGGATTTACACCCGATAATGGAATTGCATTGCGGTAACGGAATTTCATCATGGGTCTTTGATCTGTAATACACAGAAATGTATAATTATGAATATGAATGTAATTCTCTTCATGATGATGTATCCTAAATAGGTACACAAAAGTATAAATATACAATATCCTACTTTGAATATTTGGGTTTTATTCTACACACTGCCTATTATTTTAATGAGCTCTACCCCCAAACAAGACCACATTTGATTGGTACGGTACGGACCGGACCAAATCTGAAACAATCATAGATGTCCTTGTTTCACAAGTTTGGACATCAATATACAGCACAGTAGAGCTCAATAGAGTACAGTAGAGTACAGCACAGCACAGAACAGTAGTGTAGAGTTCAGTACAGTAGAATTCAGTACAATAGAGTATAGTAGAGTTCAGTACAGTAGAATTCAGTACAATAGAGTATAGTAGAGTTCAGTATAATACAGTAGTAGTCAACTACAGTAGAGTACAGTAAAGTAGAGTATAGTTCAGTACAGTACAATACAGTACATTATAATGTACTCAACTCTAGTGTACTGTACTGTGTACTGTACTGAACTCAACTGTGCTGTACTATATTTTTCTTTACTGTACTGTAGACTACTGTGCTTTACTGTACTGCACTGAACTATACACAATTGGCCCAGCATCGTCCGGGTTTGGCCGGTGTAGGCCGTCATTGTAAATAAGAATTTGTTCTTAACTGACTTGCCTAGTTAAATAAAGGTAAAATAAAAAAATACTCTACTTTTATTTTCTGTACTCTACTCTACTGTGCTGTACTGTACTGTGGTGTCAAAACTTGTGAACCCAATTGTAGTTTGTGACTACTATGATTTCCCATTGTAGCCAATTCAATTGCAGACATTCCGTTAACAATTCTTTGTAAATTCCGTTACCGATTTGGTAACGGAATTTAGAGTTTTAATCACGTAATAATTCATAAACAAAATGTATATCAGTAAAAACACTATAACTAATTGATAGGTCTACCTTGTTACTGCTGTGAACTTTCATTATCCTCCTTCCTCATAGTTACAGATACTGTATGTGGGTTTTTGGTAACAGAATTTCAAGGCACAAACTAAATATAAGTGTTGATATTAGTTGGCAGGGGTCTTTACTTCAACATTATTGTGTTTTTGTCACGGTTTCGGCCGAGGCGGCCCCTTCTCCTTGTTCGGGCAGGCTTCGGCGGTCGTCGTCTCCGGAGTACTAGCTGCCACCGTTCGATGTTTCTTGTTTGATTGGTTTTGTCTGTTTGTCACACCTGTTCGTTGTTTAGTTTCATTAGGCACCCTATTTAGTTCCCTTGTGTTAGGTCAGGGGTTGTGTGTAATTGTTCTGCTGTCGTGTGGTTGTTTGGTCCTCTGTATTTTGTTCTCTCTTATTTTCGGGTTGTAATAGAGAGTCCTGCACGTTGTGCATACTTACTTTGGACTGTCTAGTGTGCGTTTGTTTTCGCCTGTGGCCTGTTGCCGGTTTTGGCGTGCACTACGGACTTCACTAAAGAGCTTTGGATTTATATCTCTGTGTCCTGCGTGTGATTCCACATCCCACTACACTCCACCCCTGACAGAATTACACACCATCTGATGGAATCAGCAGGAGCACCCGCACCCACCGAGATCATGGAGGAGCGCCTTCGTGGTCAAGAAGATCGGATCAACCAAATCGGGCACGCCCTGGACTGAGTGATGAACACCCTCCATCGATGGGAGACCAGAGGGGTACCCACACCCCCACCTACCGCACCATCACCATCGGTCAGCCCGCCCGTCCAACTACCGGAACCCAGTGGGATTCGGCTCTCGCTCCCGAGGGCGTACGACGGCACCGCTGCCGGGTGTCAGGGGTTCCTGTTACAAGTGGAACTCTACCTTGCCACCGTACACCCGGCGCCCTCGGGACACGAGAGCGTTTCCGCCCTCATCTCCTGTCTCACCGGCAAGGCATTGGAGTGGGCCAACGCCGAATGGAGGAGAATAGACGCCGCCACTATCACCTATGCGGAGTTCTCCCGCCGCTTCCGTGCGGTCTTCGACCATCCACCAGAGGGGAAGGCGGCGGGGGAGCGTCTATTCTACCTCCGGCAGGGGATGAGGAGCGCTCAAGAGTTTGCGCTGGAGTTCCGGACTCTAGCGGCAGATGCAGGGTGGAATGAGCGGGCCCTCATAGACCACTTTCGTTGCAGCCTCCGGGAGGACGTCCGCAGAGAGTTGGCGTGCAGGGATACTACACTCTCATTTGACCAGTTGGTTGACATGGCCATTCGGCTGGACACCCTGCTCGCTACCCGCGGACGTCCCAGGTGGGGGTCGCCCATTCCACCCTCCAGCGCCTCCGAGCCGAGCCCGATGGAGCTCGGAGGTGCTGGCGCTGGAGGAGGGAGAAGAAGGAGCCCGAGG